TTAATTGAAGTAATTATGGTGGTTGGTGCTTGAATCAAGGTCCTTTAACCATCTCATGAGTCAATTATTTTCACAGAGTTTCAATATCACATACTGCATAAATACTAATATGATGGACTGATTCCTCAGCTCGTTAAATAGTTAATTCATTTAACTATGTATTGATTGTGCAGGTTTCAATAGCTGTGACATATATATTCTCTTTAATGAATACACAAGTGCTGGAGGCTGCTGAATAAAGAAGTGACTGCTAATATCAAATGGTATAGGCTGAGGTTCTCCAATTCTAGTTCTAGAACATTTATGTTCTGCACGGTTTTGATGCATCTTTATTTGAACACACCTAAATCAAAACAATGGGTCATCACCAGGTTGGTATATAACTTGATTAGTTCATACCTAAAGGTGCCATGCACACATGTCCCAACTATATTATATGTCTGGTAACATCATTAGAATATTGATCTATGACAATAATCAATACTTTTTGCTGCAAACTGTATAGACTGTATCATCCTCACAGATTAAGCAAAGATGTGATTAAACTGGCTGAAGCTATTAAGAGAGTAGTAGGCCTATCACCAGTGAAGTTGTTCCTCTTAATATGGGCTAAAATACCACACATTTTGACAGAAGCCATTTCTCCAAAGGCAGGAAAACATTTTTGGAATGCACACAGGGAGAAAAACCTTAATATGTCTCACTTACACCACGTGATTTATAACTAGCCTCTTGCTGCTTAAATATAATCCAGGCCACTTTTTTCTCCCAGGTTTACTGATTATGCAATCATGCCCTGCCTTGTATGTATATATATATATATATATATATATATATATATATATATATATATATATATATATATATATATATATATAATTTAACATTTTAACTTTTTAAGCAGATGGTTTATGCACTGTTGCTGATCACAAGTTACATCCTTTGACAGAAGAGATTAGTTTAGGATACCCAGCTCATAGCATTAAAGGAAATGTGAACATTATGACTTTCAAGTAGTTTTTTTCCTGCAGCATCAGCAATCCTTTTCATCTGCAACAGCTTCTGCTGAGAAAGCCACTGTCACATGGTTCATGTAACCAAGGAACTTTCCAAAAAGCGGTAGAGTGTGGGATGTTAAATAAAGTGTACACTGCAGGAATTATACAAGGTTCTTAAGATAAGACAAGGAAAAAGAAGACATTGATAAACATTTGCAAAAGAAAGCTGATTAATTTAAAAAACAATACATAGTTATGGCATTTGATTAATATAAATATTTGGTATGTAATATTTAACTAGTAAAATATCAGTTATTACAGTATCCAGCAGATGCAACAGATCTGTAGTATTTATGAGATATTGAATGAGTGAATGAATGAATGAATGAATGAATGAATGAATATATGATTGAATTAGTAACTTTATTTTAGGCAATCCAGTAAATTATATATATATATATATATATATATATATATATATATATATATATATATATATATATATATATATATATATATATATATATATATACATACAATATATAATTTTATGAAGAATTTAGTCTGAAAATTCAGAAAGACAAACTTTAAAAGAGAACGTGTGACTTTTTTAGGGATAATTTCTTGAAAGATATTTGTTTAAAAAGCCATCTTTGCACATGGATATAAGTCAGAGTCCAGGTAAATGAGAGGGAACCTGCTGCAGTATTGAGAGAGACGGGCTTTGCATGATTTCTGAGTCAGAACCTTCAGCTGTCAAGTTGCTATCCTGAAGCATTCATCAAATTCTTATGTGCCAAACTACCTGCAGAATTTACTACTGTGATCAACACAGTCATCAAAACTCTGAAGCTCATTTGTTCAACCAAAGACCTCCACAACTGTTTGTTGAGAAAATGGTTACAGGAGAAGAGGGATTAGTTCTCAGATATGCTGCAGGATAATTACATAATATGGCAGAGGGAGTGCTTTCATGGTTCTGAGCACAGTTAAAAGAAAATCTTGCTTTTTTTCAGCCACAAATGAAGAAATATATTTCAGATACTGAGTCAATGAGTTTTAAATTAAGGAATGACCATTAGAGCTGGGTAAAGTGCCCAAAAAAACTGTACTTAAGTACGAGTAGCAGCACTTAAACAGTTTTTTTTACTCAGTAAAAGTAGAAAGTAGTCAGCTAAAGAATTACTCTAGTAACATTATTTTTTTCTAAAGTAACGGTTAAAAAGGCTATTCAAGTTCACATATGAATGCAGGAGAAATACTTTTCCAATCAATTCACTCCAACTTTGTAATCATAATTAAACTTTATATATCTCACATTGGAAAAATGTACCTCTGCATTTAATCCATCTCTCCAGGGAGCAGTGTGGGGTTAAGGGAAGCCTGTAGGAGTGGGGCTTGAACTCATAACCTCAGGATTCCAAGCCCTATGCCTCAACCACTAGGTCGCCACTCCCTATATGTCTCTCTTACAGTGATCATGCAATGTCATAAATGTTGTGGATAAATCATGTAGTATGATAGCTGGTGCAACAAACACCAGCTAACAGAACATCCAACATGTCTCCTTTTCGTCATACTCCTACCCCTCTTTTCAGGGTTTTAATCTAATAACGGGAGTTCATACAATTAAATCATGGCTGCAGTTTGGTTAATAGTTTGGTTTGAAAATAAAAATCAGAGGTCAGAGAGACTACGGCCGTAAATATTAAATATTGTATGGTTAGGGTGGTTCTGCGAAGGTCTCAGAGATATGTTAGACACTGGTACTGTAAGTAAAAAGCATCATGGACTCTAAGGAACACAACAGAGATACACTATATTGCCAAAAGTATTTGCTCACCTGCCTTGACTCACATATGAGCTTAAGTGACATCCCGTTCCTAATCCATAGGGTTCAATATGACGTCGGTCCACCCTTTGCAGCTAGAACAGCTTCAACTCTTCTGGGAAGGCTGTCCACAAGGTTTAGGAGTGTGTTTATGGGAATTTTTGACCATTCTTCCAGAAGCGCATTTGTGAGGTCGCACACTGATGTTGGACGAGAAGGCCTGGCTCTCAGTCTCCGCTCTAATTCATCCCAAAGGTGTTCTATCGGGTTGAGGTCAGGACTCTGTGCAGGCCAGTCAAGTTCATCCACACCAGACTCTGTCATCCATGTCTTTATGGACCTTGCTTTGTGCACTGGTGCACAGTCATGTTGGAAGAGGAAGGGGCCAGCTCCAAACTGTTCCCACAAAGTTGGGAGCATGGAATTGTCCAAAATGTCTTGGTATGCTGAAGCATTCAGAGTTCCTTTCACTGGAACTAAGGGGCCAAGCCCAGCTCCTGAAAAACAACCTCACACCATAATCCCCCCTCCACCAAACTTTACACTTGGCACAATGCAGTCAGACAAGTACCGTTCTCCTGGCAACCGCCAAACCCAGACCCGTCCATCAGATTGCCAGATGGAGAAGCGCGATTCGTCACTCCAGAGAACGCGTCTCCACTGCTCTAGAGTCCAGTGGCGGCGTGCTTTACACCACCGCATCCGACGCTTTGCATTGCACTTGGTGATGTATGGCTTGGATGCAGCTGCTCGACCATGGAAACCCATTCCGTGAAGCTCTCTGCGCACTGTTCTTGAGCTAATCTGAAGGCCACATGAAGTTTGGAGGTCTGTAGTGATTGACTCTGCAGAAAGTTGGCGACCTCTTCGCACTATGCGCGTCAGCATCCGCTGACCCCGCTCTGTCAGTTTACGTGGCCTACCACTTCGTGGCTGAGTTGCTGTCGTTCCCAAACACTTCCATTTTCTTATAATACAGCTGACAGTTGACTGTGGAATATTTAGGAGCGAGGAAATTTCACGACTGGATTTGTTGCACAGGTGGCATCCTATCACAGTTCCACGCTGGAATTCACTGAGCTCCTGAGAGCGACCCATTCTTTCACAAATGTTTGTAAAAACAGTCTGCATGCCTAGGTGCTTGAATTTATACACCTGTGGCCATGGAAGTGATTGGAACACCTGATTCCAATAATTTGGATGGGTGAGCAAATACTTTTGGCAATATAGTGTATAATAAGGTTGCAGAGAGGTTATATTTAATCAGCATTAGAATATAAAATAATTTCCCCATGTTACACATTGAATGTTATGCCTTATCCTGTTTAATCCTTCACCCAAATGTAGAAATGTATGAAAGAGATTTCTTTAGAAAGTAAATACAGGTTAAAGCTAGAAAGAGAGACATTAAGACTACAAAAGATTTTGGGCTGTGGTGGAATTTCACTGTACAACAGGACAAGACCCGAACTTATCTGCCAGAGCAACAATGGAATAGTTTATATTAAAGGCTATTGATTGGCTGTCAAATACATTTGTCAATCTGTAACAGGATTTTAAAACCGATGTTCACATATACCATCCATTTAATTTGAATGAGGCTTAGCTACTTTGTAATGTTGGCCTGAAAAAGTTAGAGATGCATGAGGCACTCTGAGGCTTACTTAAAAGTGTTTGTTGTCTCATAAATATCAATTTTTCAGTCACTATCAGTGCTCCATATACTAAACTACTAATGCACCAAAGATGTGTGTATATAGGGGAAGGGCTTGTCTTGTACCCTTTAATCATTCAAGATTGAAGATAGAAATATATTTAGCTCTGATGAATATACAATGTTGACAACAAAAGCTTTTTTTTATCAGATTAGCATGATAAACCACATTTAATTTACACATACTGGGAGAGCAAGGAAATGCAGCAAATGAGAGCTGATGAATTAGGTTATTTGCTGAACTCACTGATGCGGAGAGACAACACATTAGCTTCAACAGGGAAAATGATATGAAGTCATTAGTGATGGCCTTCATTTTTGTATCAGTGATCTCTATATATAATACCCTCTGTTTTGCAGTTAATATTTTTCTGTTGCAAATACTCAATAAGAATTTCAATGTTGGACTAAAGCCATATTTGTGGTCACTAATATATAACTGTTGCTCTTTTTTCAGACATTCGTGGTATTGAGGATTTTCTGGACCGTACCTCTCAGCAAGGGATGGACGTGTCCCTTCAGAAGGTCGAATCTAATGTCAACATGATGATCACAGGTCTTTTCAGAACAATGCGTGTGGAGGAATTGCATCGATATAGGGATACGCTACGGAGAGCAGTTTTGTTCATGAGCCCGGCTACTGCCAAGGCTTTTATCACTGAGGTAAGGAAGGATGCTTTCTTTGTGGCCTGTTTTGCGTTTTATGTTTCATTAGGTAAGTGGATAACACCATTGATATCAATTGAAACTTTTCATTTTTAACATCCGCACTTAACAATATACTGAGAGATTATATATCATAGGATCTGCAATGTTTTGATGGGAAAAAGGGAAAGCTGCACAAGTGGGAGCAAACACTATAGGGAGCCTTTTCTTTACCAAATATTATGATCACATAATCATATCTTATCTACTCAACTGAATAATTACTAGTAATAAGTATAGATAGTTTAATGTTAGCCTATCATCTCACTGTTAATTATATTAACCTAAAAAAATTTAAACCATAGAGGCCTTTCCTCTAATGCCCTAAATAATACCGAGCAGTATTAATATCTCTTTCTCTCTTTGCTCATCACTATTTTAGGTTCCATTGTAATACAAATCAAATTAAATGACAGGATAAATTCAACTTACTTTCTATTAATTTGATATAATTTATTTTCTCACGTGATTCAACTACTTCCATTCAGCCACTGCACACTCATACCTTCTGCCCAACCATGCTCTTTATATCTGCAAAAGACAATTAAAGGAGTTCCTTTGCTCTTATACATAAATGATATGGGGGTCATGGTTGACAGCAATAGGCTGTAGCATTAGTTATGAATTCATAATTTGTAGTGGTAGGATGGGGCTTAATCCCATGTGCCATGTTCTCATCTCAGTTTAATTAAAAGTGACCTCGGAAAGAGCAATCACAATCTAATTTGGTTGGAGGCGTGACAGGGAGGGATGAAAGATGGGGTATTATTGCGTGAATATGAGCGTGTTTCCTTCAGTATATGTGTGTAAGTGTTTATACATTAGCATTATGGAATAAAGTTTTCAGCTTTTCTTTTTATCTTGCCATACGGCAGGTTTTTTTTATATACATCTATAGATCTCTGACATCTTGAGGCAAATTTTAAAGTCTACTCCAACAAATAATTTTGTGGTGATTTAAAAAATGAAATATTTTTATGTATAAAATTTGTATTGTAAATCAAGATGTGTTTCTTGCAGTGAATGATTTATCTCTTTGTCATGACACCCCTCAGCTTGTTATGTGCAGGAAGTGAAAACTTTGTCTTTAATTGAATGACTTACAAAAAAAAAAAAGAAAAAAAATATTAAAGTATAAGTCTTGGAGTATTTTAGTAAAGGGCAAAATTTGCAATTGTTAGACAACTGGGTAAGATCATCTCAAAAGCTGCAACCCTTGTTAGCTGTTCTGAGGCCACAGTTATCAACATATGTCAATGGTACAAAGTGGCCCTAAAAAAACTTGTTCATCATGGAACAACAGTGAATCAATTATAAAATAAAAATGTATTGATTATTGAGGTAATCAAAGTAGACCATGTGGTCCAGTCCAACAAGGTAACTACATAATTAAGCATTGAAAGGAGGTGCGTTGCTCTGATGAATTATGCCTTATAATTAAAAGGTCCTTTTGTAAATTGTGCTTTACACTATTGACCGCAAGGAGAATATGTCCTATGTTTAAGCCACTTCAGCCTCAGCTCTCCTTGAGGTGGTCATAATATTATACTTGATCTTTATATATGCAGCTGAAAAGAATAGGAGTCATAAGGAGTCCAAATAAGGGCAACAGATAATGGGACGTTGGAAACAGGTGAGTTAATATCATGTTGTCAGAAAAGAACTGGGTATTTAGTGGATTCAAGGAAAAAGGCAGAAAAAAGTATGGACAAAGAAATTTGCAAATTGGGACGTGGGTAGAGACAAAAAACGGCTTGAATACCTTAAAAGTGGATATGATACAAGTCAGACTCAACCTTTATGTAGTGATATTGGTTATGAAGAATCATTGCAAGTTTTGCATTAAGCAGCAATGCACCATGCTCAGACATACCATGATAAGGCTGTGTTTAAATGAAGAATAATGATAATTCTAGTTGTAGTGTGTGAGAAAAACGGCTCGCCAGCTCTCGTCTCACGTCAGAGGAGGAGTAAGCAGATGACTTGCAAAAATTAAATGGTAAGAACCAGCGGACGACAAAATTCCAGTTAAAAAGCGTGTAGCAATTTATTTACTGGCGATGGTGAAGACAAAAAAAACAAAACAAACAAAATACTTTCAAATAAAGAAAACAAAACCGGCCATTGCAGGCAATACAAAAAACTGACAGCCTCTCAGCAAGCTGACATTAAATAAAGTTTTTTAAAGCAGACCTTCCAAAGGAGTTTCTCCAACCAGCCCTCCAAGCAGTCCCTCAAGCAGCCCTCTAAGCAGCCCTCTAAGCAGCCCTCCCAAGACATTGTGAGTATGCCCCTTAAATAGACCCACCAATAATTAACCAATTGGGACAGCCCAACTGAACAGGAAGGCAAATCCCAAATAAACCACAGTTAACATTATAGAAAAATAAATACAGACAATATCATCATTCATACAAAAACATACATATTTATGAAATAATTTAACCATACAAACATTACCATTTCACCTACTTATTATCATGCAAACAATTATCAGACACACTGAAATCCCACTTAACACCCCTGCCCCCTAATAGTCTTTTCCAATGCCCTGGGACAATGAATAAGAGACTGGCTCCGATGCGGTACGTGTTTCCACACGGACCAGTATTCTGACGGACTAAGGGAAGAGAAAGTGTAACTTGACTGGGAAGTTTTATTGCCGACTACGGAATGTATACTGATGCTGACGCAGTGGATACTTTCAGAGTTCGCTGCGCTGGTGAGTAAGAAAAAAGTTAAATGAAAGGTGACGTTGTAATTTCAGAACTAGTGTAAATTACCGGGTGAAATGTTTGGATCGGCCGCCGCCATGACGGCCGGTCTGTGGTGCATGCTGGGAAATGTAGTGAAGGATGCGACGCTGTGTGTGATAGACGGCGGTTATACTTTAATAACAGAGGGGGAAAACGGCTCCGTTTTCACATTTCCTCCCCCTTCTGAAGTCTTGACACAGGGGTGGCGAGACAGGAAATCCGCTACAGGGTTCAGCTTCCCCGCCCTGTACTGAATTTTAAACCGAAATGGCTGTAAAGACAAAAACCATCTTGTAATGCGAGCATTGGAGTCTTTCATTTTCCCCAACCATTGGAGTGCCCTATGGTCAGTCTCAAGCAGAAAGTCTCTTCCTAACAGGTAATATCTGAAAGACTCAAGAGCCCATTTCACAGCTAGGCACTCTAGCTCCACCACAGAATACCTGGTCTCCCGAGGAAATAGTTTGCGGCTGATATAAGCCACAGGCTTCTGCTGTTCATCCTCCCCCTGGAGAAGGACCGCCCCCAGCCCAACTCCAGAGGCATCAGTCTGCACAACAAAAGGTTTCTCAAAGTCTGGACTCTGCAGCACCGGCTCACAGAGTAATGCTGCCTTCAAGTCTTGGAAAGCCCGTTCATGCACCTCCTCCCACTTCACCCTTACTGACCCAGACTTCCGGGTCAGGTCAGAGAGAGGTGCAGCCCGGGTAGCAAAGTTCGGGACAAATCTCCGGTACCACCCCGCCAGCCCCAAGAAAGACCGTATCTCCTTTTTGGTCTGGGGTTGTGGGCAGTCTCGGATAGCCTCCAACTTGTCCTTTTGAGGTTTGATTACCCCACTGCCGATGATGTGTCCCAGATACCGGACCTCCGGCTGGGCTAGGGCACATTTCTTTGGCTGGATCGTCAGTCCAGCTGCGTGAATGCGCTTCAGAATCTCGGCCAGGTGTTGAATATGGTCTTGCCAGGTGGCACTGTAAATCACCACATCGTCCAAATAGGCTGCAGCATAGGCTCCAGTGCCCTCCAAGACTTGGTCCATCAGCCGTTGGAAAGTGGCTGGTGCTCCCTGTAGGCCAAAAGGCATAACAGTAAATTGATAAAGACCTTGAGGGGTACGGAAGGCCGTGTATGGTCTGGCTCCCTCCGCCAACGGTACCTGCCAGTACCCCTTACAGAGATCAAGGGTTGTGATGAACTGCGCCCTCCCAAGGCGCTCGATAAGGTCCTCCAGCCTCGGCATTGGGTATGCATCGAAGTAAGACTGAGCATTAACTTGCCTGAAGTCAATGCAAAAACGGATGCTCCCATCCTTCTTCGGCACGAGCACAATGGGACTACTCCAACCACTGCTGGAACGCTCGATGACCCCAAGCTGCTTCATGTCCTCCAGCTCCTGCTGGAGGGCCGGCAACAAGCGCTCAGGGATACGATACATCCGCTGCCTCACCGGAGTGGAGTCTTTCAGCGGGATGTCATGGTCCACCAATGAAGTGTGACCCGGCTGCTCGGAAAACAGACCTGCAGGTATGACAGCCTGCACTTCCTTGGCCTGCTGAGCAGTCAGGTGTGAAAGGTCTGGTTCAGTGGGGGAAACAGCAGCTGGAAAGAACTGCTCTGGTGGATCCTCATCCTCCTGCACTGCTTGTACCATCAGCTGTTGGCTGACAGGTGGCTCCCGTCCGTGCCACTCTTTGAGAAGGTTGACATGGTAGGCCTGTCGAGTCTTCCGCCTCCCCGGCATCTCCAACTCGTAAGTCACTGGGCCCAGTTGACGTGTAATCCTGTACGGCCCTTGCCAACGGGCAAGGAGCTTGTTCTCCGTTGTCGGCAACAGCAACAGGACCTGCTGCCCCGGTGAAAAAGTTCTCTGGCGTGCAGACTTGTCATACCACCGTGCTTGGGTCTCCTGCGCCTGCTGCATATTCTCCTCCACCAAGGAGGCCATCTCCTCCAGCTTGTCCCGCATCCTAAGGACATAGGAGAGGACGCCGTCTGCTGCTTCCGGTTGAGGTGCCACCCAGGCATCTCGCAATAAATCCAGAGGGCCCCGGACATGGCGCCCGTACAACAGTTCAAAGGGCGAGAACCCCGTGGAGGCCTGGGGAACCTCCCTGTAGGCAAAAAGCAGGTACGGCAACCACTGGTCCCAGTCTTTGCCATTCAGAGCAACAAACTTTTTGAGCATGCTCTTCAGTGTGC